CTATAATGTTTTGTTCTCCTTATTATATAAATAGTATGTAATTATAATGAGTATTCGGGAAAATTGGCTGAGAAAAATTATGTGATTGACTCTATTACAGGATCAATAACAGATTACACAGTCGAGATAGAATATTAGTCTAAAGTTAAGCAGTCAGTATCTATATTTTATTCCGTTTTGATTACTTACGGTGGTCATTGTAGTAGTTAATTTGTTAACTGAATTTTTATTTATTTGAATAATAAAAGAAGTAGTTCGTATTTTGATTCCGTTGTAATGGTAAATGTCTTTCAGATTTTGAACGATTGCTTCTGTTTTCGTAAGGAGTTTTATCGTCTACTATATTTTCTTTTAGTGGAAGCAATTTCAACTTTAGATTAGTTTCAGAGATTGCGGTCTTTGATACCGCATTGCTACGTTCTTCTTATAATTTCTGTTTGTATTAAAAGAATTTTGGTAGTTATATTGTCCTATTATTGTTAGTCAATGGTCTGTTTCAATATTTTGCTAAGACTGAGAAATAACGTTAATTAATAGTATTACGACTGATATAAATCAGAGGAATTTCGTGTTTAGAAAATGCAAACAAAAGAAAATGCCATTTCGTAGAATTGGCAAATAAGTAAATTAGGAAATTTTCGTTCTCAAGAATAGTAGTTGTAAGATAATAGCAGAAGATTTGGAATTAGCAGTTAATTGAAATATGTCTGGGGTCGTATTTTAATGAGATTAGTTTGAGATTGATTGATGAGATTAGTTTGAAGAACTGCATCCTTAACTGTCTTGTTTTTTGTTACCAATTTAGTATAATATGATGCGAGATATTGTAAGAGAACAATTAACTATTGGAATTTGAAATCGACCATTTGTTCTACTTATCTCTCCCTCTAAATTATTTTCAAGAAGATTTCGTTCATTACAAAACTGCACATAGTAAATTTTTAATATTATATATAAAGAAAATAATGAGTGTTATCAGAACAGGGAAAAGTAGTTACCTAAATGAAAGTTAGTATCAACAATTTCTTATGCTGAAGTGTACGATGTGTTGCATACCTATTTACAAACAAGGGGGGAAGAACTTGTAGATGTAATGAAAAAATAATTATTTTCATGTTACTCTTAAGAAAGACACGAGTTTCATCCTAAATATTTGAATATTAAGAGTTTAAATTTGAAGATAATATTTTTTTGACGAAGGTAATACATTTCATTTTGGAGTCGGTATAGTGTGCTTTCTTTTGTACAAAAAAATAATTTTCCATGTACCGTGCAGCTGGAATACTGTTGTTGTTTCGATTTTGAGGTAACAGCAGTTTGAAGAGTTACCCGGGGTCCTCGAGTTCCCTTAGCTCTACAAAATCAACCCTTGACGGTGGCATTTCAGTTTACATTGACGTTTGGTGTTCTTTGAACGGTCGTTTTCAACAGCGTATGTTTGACCCCAATTACGACTTACTAAAAGCAAATTGGTCACCATTCAACCCTGTCGAGTGGCTGGTCCCGTTGTTAGTAGAGCATACAAATTTTAGGGATCACATGAGGGAAATTTCCAAGGAGGTATATTCCTGGTCTAATTATAGCGACGTTCTGTTCGTCGCGGATTTTCCAGGTAAACCTTATATTAAAACAATTTCAAGCATGTGTGCGTACGTATTTATAGTATTCGGATTCACGCCTCTGTTCGTCGTTAAAATCAATACATAATTTAATTCGGCATGACGATTTTACCCAGACAGATTATCGTGGGAAATATGGGCACATTGATGCGAGAATAAACGGGGTGGAATACACTTTGAAACCTAATATACGCTAGTGGCAAGTTGAGAACGTTCCAGTACACGAGATTATCAAAGGGCAGCATTACTTTTTAATTGTTTATAAGATAACTCGTACAAATAAAGATAGATCTGATTGAAAAAAGTTATTCCAGGCGTCTAGCAAATCATATAAAAAAATGCCGATGAAGAAAAGTGTAATTTCTATGTCTGGTGAATGTTTTGCATCTCTGGAAGTTCCCTGTCCCATCAGCTTACGAAAATATGTACTTTTTTGGAAATTTATCATGTCAAACAGAATCTTTATGAGAACTAACATAATAACGATGAAGATTTTTAATGACTTTCAATATTTTAAACTAGATTCTAACTAAAATTATAACTGCGAATGTGTTCGTTTGCTATCATTGAACACCTTAGCTACCCAACCGAATATCATGAAATTTTATACACACATTGTAAGGTGTATAGAAAATTATATAGGATACCTTTTATCCAGATAAGAAGTACTTTACATTAGGTATAGAAAAATTAGTTTTATATGGTCGTCGAAGATATTTGATAAGTATTTAGGGCATCATCGTGAACGAAGCCGCTGGTAAAACCTATCATGAAATTTTGTATACATTGTCAGGGGTATCAAAAACGATATTGGATATCTTTTATCCAGAAAAAAATACCGTTCCCGAGGGACAGAAAAATTAGTTATATATGATCGTCGACGTGAGCGAAGAAATAGAAGAATATCGTGCAGGAATCTTAAAAAATTAGTTTATCGGCAGTTTGGGTAGCAGATTTTCTTTCAGAAAGCAAGAGAATTATTCTTTTTGTCTTTATTTTTAATAGGAAAAGTTGATTTTTACATTCATAAACAACTGTTCGTACAGAAATTTATACTGATGTGCTAATTTAAATAGATTTTGTTGCAAATATTTTGAAAGGTAAATTAATTAAAATATAGAAAAGCCTTTTTTAAATTGTAAAGGAATGCAAAAATATATGAGATATGTAGTCCTTTATTTCGTCCTGTTTTTCGTGAATTAAAAGTTATTTTTACGTTTAGTATCAGTAAATAAAGCATTCTTTTGCAAGGGATGCATTTGGAGCAATTTCTCCCTTCGGTTTATACTAACGTCTCCCTGACCGTGTTGGATGGCCAAATATTTTACGAAATGGAGGACAAGGAGGCCCAACAGTCCCTATTAACGAAACTCGTAAAAGGGTCAGTTGTTAATGTACCATCTGGAATGTTTCACCGCATACACACAGTGGGCAAATTACCGTCACTTTTCATGTACACTTTTAATAAACCTCCCTTAGAAGTAAATGGAGATTCGGATTCTAATGAGGACTTTCCGAAAAGGCAAACACAACAGCCGCATTAGCTGATAAAATTTAACGTTTTAGTACTTATCATAATTAATAGTTAAATTGTAATAAAAGAGGATTGTTGAACATCAATGTTAAATAACTTTGTTTTTATAAAACTCAGAAAACATAATACGTATGGCTGCTGAAAAGTACAATAAAATATATGTTAGAATGTTGATTTTTAAATTGCTTTTCGACTTTCTTTGTCACTTTTTTGCCCAATGAAACTTGGTGTGAAGTCGTAACTTATATAAAGAACTGTGTGCAATCAGGATAAGTTCAATTAATCAAAATTATGCTTTACTTAGATTATTTTCAAATCAGCTTTTTCTTATAATTTTTCTTATAATATTATTATCTTGTTACCACAATAGTTAAGTAGAGTTATTCAAATTATATCGAGATTTTGTAGGGTGAAATACTTTTAGGTCAAACCTGGTATATTTGTTATATCTTTTGTTTTAATAATTATCGTACAGAGGTCGCTAGGTGACGCTTTTAAACAAATTATTAGTTATTAAAAATTCCTTAGTGTTTTATTAGATGGTGCTATATGTCTTTATTGTAGAGATAAATAAGCAGTTATCACTATGATATTACTTTTAATATATCTCTTTAATTGAGTCACGCAAAGCCCAAGAAAAAAAAATTAATTGTAATTAATAACAACGTAGTTATCACTAAAGATGTAGAAAATTGCTTTGGACAGATATGGAATATAACTTTTATGACTTTGTTTATATGTATTAATCGTTAAAATGTTTTTTAAAAGAGCGGCATTTTAAATTGAGGATTTAAATAGGTATTTGAAGTAAAAGAGTTTATTATTGATAAGTAATATCGTGTTTTGTCATTAATACATCATTTTATCGTATTAATAGGGTTGATAACGCACCAAGTAATGCAAAATAATAAATAAACGTAAGGATTTTATAATTTAAATGAACGATAAGCTTAATAAAAGAGAACAAATGAAATAACAATAGTTTTACTTATTGTTAATTATCAAATTTGGCAAATGTGCCCTTTATTTAATTTCAGCATTCGATACATACATAAATACTAATTTTAATTGTGACTGAAGTGATATTATTATAACTACACGAAATGAAAAGCAGTTAGGTACTATTACGTATTATTATATTGTTTAATTCGTATTATTACATGTTAGGACAATTTATTAAAAATTACAGAAACAATACGTATTAGATAATATACATAGGTATGTATTATGGCAAAAGAAAGTTGAAAGTGGTTCTTTAGACGAAAAAATTGTTGGGTATTGTGTTTAATTTTGTTTTAATTTTATATTATGTAGGCATATAAACCATGCTTCATCAACTTTAAAGTTTAAACGTGTTTTGTATTATTAGGTACATGCTCAATAAATAATGTATTGTAACGTTTATCATACCGAATCACATACACTTATGTCATAACTCACCACATGTAATGAGTATTTGCCATTTTTGTTGGTAAATTATATGCAATAAACGGACTCGTAAGGAAATTGTACATAATAATTATAAAAGCTTTGATAGTGATGATATGCAGATGATGCTATTACAATTGTCTTTATTGCGTCACGGAACCTTCTTAGAATGTAACATGTTTCACTCTTAAATCCATTTTTGTGTTTAACTGCAAAGAGTGCATATGGTAGTTGAAAATTAAAAATTAGTTTCCTAAAATAGTTTTTTGTACTTTCCAGTCCATATGTGTCATACATACGGAAATAGCTATTTTTTATTATTATACAGGGTGCTTCCTTTTTACCTAAAACTACATGATAATTTAATAAATATTTCATCATAAACTCATTGTGAGTTAAGTATTGTTTTTATTAAATTTTTAATAATTTTTTTCGTTAATTTTTTTACGTTCGTCATCATCATCGTATGGTCGTTGCGACGACGTAAAACTATAGAAAATCCCACATCCTTGACTACGTATTTGAGAACATTACCCTTATTTAGGTCTTCATCTGGTCCCCTCTGTTTCTATTTTTGCTTCTAATGTCCCTAGCTAACCCTTTATTACGTCCCACCATCCTACCTCTTCATCTTTTCCTTCTTGATATCCACAATACTCCTTCATTCCTAGCCTTTTCTAACAATAGTTCAAATTACAAAATTAACTTTTTTAATAAGTTTTTTACTTACTATTCATATACATATTATGTATTAAGGACGTAAATAATGTCGTCAGTACATAAAGGACACATTTGAACGAATTGATACCCATAAAAGTTTGCAAATCGAATTTGGGTTGGTTACAATTTATAATACTTTATTTTATAACAGAGTAATAAATTTTCATGTCTTAAAACTTTCCCAGCCCTTCACTTTATCGCAAAACAACCTTTATAGGTAGTAAACAACTAGACCGAGAATTTAATACGTATTTACTGCGACATGGTTTTATTTATATTTGTGTATTCTTCAAATTGGTGTGTAAATTGTCAGCTATTCAACTTGGTAGCTATTTTTAAAAAGTAAATTATTTTCTGAAAAATCGTGGGAATTGAACAGGAAAAAAAATTGATTGAACACTAATGATTAAAAAAAAAAAGAATGCGGGATGATCTACCACAAGACAAGATGAAATGTCTATGAATTAATCATAAATGTGTAGTCAATCAAATACAAAGATCTCCAAAGGTTTTTGTATTTGATTAACTTTAATATGTCGTACTCCCAGCAAAATTTTATGTTCTTATGGTCTATGGAGTCATTAATATGCCAATTACGCGACAAGTGCTTTAATAACATATGAATAAAGAGTATCAGATCTGATAAATAAGTTAATACACAATAGTATAAAAGGGTATATCACCTGAATGAGATTTATGTATTGCGTTATCAGTTATGTCTTACCGTTCAATTCAATCGCATAATCAAAAGTGATCTTGATTTCTTGACGTTCCTAGTTTGACAATTTCCATTAGCCAACATCGTCAATCTCTTCGACAATTAATTCGATGAGCAGCTTACCACGATAACGTTCTTATCTCCAATATCGATATTCGAGACTAATGGCCGATTAGAGAAATTCATTACTGTTATTATTGCTGGTACCATTTTTTAAAAAGACAGAGAGAGGTTTGAATTATAACTATCTGGCATATAAATGTACTGTGATAGTTTTAAACCTCATAGAGTTAAGAAATGGTATCTCATAAAGCTTTAAAAACTTGGAACGTACAAAGTTTCTTTTAAAGAGGTGAATAGTATTAAAAAAAATTTAGAAGCGTTCGAAATATGTTGTTATATAAGCGAATGATGAAGATATTGTGGATAGAGAAGGTTAGGAATGAGGAAGAATGGGAGAACAGAAGTCGTTATGGAGATCAATAAGAAGTAGTCGAAATAGGTTGGTAGGACAGGCATGAAAAGCTAGTCAGAGACATATTAGAAGCGGAAACAGGTGTTAAGAGGGGTAGAGGAAGGCCTAGATTGGATTACTGTTCACAAATAGTCACATTCCTTATGTTCTAGTTTTAGGGAAATCCGATGATTACTTCAGGATGGGGAAATGTAGAGGTGCGTGCCCAACCAGTCTTAGAACGAATTCAAAAGGCATACAGATACCAAGAACTTATAAATTGTGTCTTTGTTTCACGATCCCTGGATTGCAATATAAAAATTTATTAAGGAAAGGGCCCAGACGACTGGAAAATTTGGCTTTGTGGTAGAACACAAAAAAGCTCAAACCCCAACGTCTAAGCAAGACGTTGACCGTCGTGTTTTAGCGTCGGGGTTGAAGCTATTTAGTGTTCCAAAGTAACGGCCATCTTACCGATTAAAAGCAGATTTTCTTTAGAATGTGCCTCAAACATTTTTGGAACATGGTAGGTAACACATAATTTTCATTTGAGGTTTTTCAGTTGCGCTGCTTCCGCGGCTCGTAGCTCATGCGCTTTCAAGTTGATTGTGCCCACCACCTGTGGAGAGCCGAAAACACACTTCTCCAAAACGATCCGTTGTTGGCGGTTTTCCTCGACGCGTTATCAGAAGTGTCGCGACGCTTAGCGTATCTGCTTCGGTCTATTTTCTCCTCGCATCGTTAGCGTATGTGCGCGATTCATTCAAACAACATCAAACCAAAACAGAAAACATTTTTAACAAAATAACTAACGTCATCGGACGAAGGTGAGAACAGAAACTATCTTTCACGTGTATCATCTTTCTAATATATTTTCTTGTGTTTCTTGTGTTTCTTCCTTCATCTGTTTCATGTTATTTACTTTAGAAAATTTTTGTTCGAATAAGTGAAGTGACTTGATCGAAATGAATTATACTCGACGGAATATAAAATAATGTAAGTTTGAAATACAAATATTGTAATTACCGATAAAAAATTTTGAATGAAAAAATCATTTGGCAAGTTTCATAACGATTATTTCATCTCCAATTTAAAAATGCTGTTATTGGTGAAACAATTGTCAGAAATAAAATAAATATTGCAAAACTTGCCAAGTGATTTCTTCATTCAAAATTTCTTATTTATAAAAACATTTCACCAAGCGCTTAGCGTCTCTACAATTTCAAATAAGCATTATAAATACCGGGTCATTGCTTTTTTTGGATTAACAAACGCAACAAGACAAAATGAACTTGAAATCAATCAAATAATTAATTACTTTAATTTTAAATGTAATATTATTTAATTCTTTACGACTACCATCAAAAGTGATTAATGTATTAGGGGCCTTACTTATATGGTACATTTTATCTTCAACAAGTTAGTGTTGTGTACAAGATACTTTTGTCATTATCTGTTTATCACAGGCGTGATGCAAATAGTGTGTTGCTAATTTGTTTATTGTAAGCAATTATTAAACAAGGAAATGATAGTTTGAAAACCTTATACGGATTATAGTACCGCTATGACCATACATACATTTGTGTGTCCTGTATATGGGGCATACAATCTTATATTTGTATTTGCACCTATTTTGAAACATCTATTTTTAAGGTCTCATTACATTTCTATGTCTGATGCTCAAACGTTTCGGCAAGACCGAACTTTTTTCTTTTATTTTCTTTTATTGAGACAGGTCTAAATTTTTAAATAGACAGATAATGGTAAATTAGACAGAAGTTTTTGTGATCTTGCCAATTTGAAGTCATCTTGAATTCACAAAAAGTATTGTTAGGAAAAAGATTATTTATTTAATTTTGTTATTCTTAGGTTGGTTTATTGCTATCGTGTATCTTCTTTATCTGAATATATCTTATAAAATTAACTTTCCCGACTATAAAAAGTAAACACGTGACTTAAAGTTGGAATAAATACCTATGAACTGTTTGTATTTGTTATCAGGTGGTGTCATCAAGTTGATAAAAAATGTAAATTGTAAATTATTTGTATTTGCATCGGGTAGAATAAATAATTATTGTTCTTCAATATCTATCAATAAATGCTAAAAAATTCAATTTCATGAATATGTTCATTTTGTTACAATGGTTAAACCAGAAAGATTATTTTTGTTTAAAATAATAAAAAAAACACGTAATGTCTTACAGATAAGCAATTAATGCAATAATTTTTTATTTTGAATAACGGTATTGAATTATAAACAAAAAGTAATTTTAAGATGCACTTCAGCAGTAGATATAAATGTTTATACCTGTTAATTATCATTTTTAACTGACGATGAGATATAACAAGTAGGAATTTTAATGTATAATAACAGATGATAACTATATTTTGTCAAGGTTGACGTAGGCTTGATAGCTGTTTGCATAAAAAGAGTTGAAGAACCGAAAGTTGATATGGTGTTATTATTGTAGAAAAAATGATGATGTCGGAGTTGTTCACGATAAGATTCTAATTAGCCGTTTATAAATTGATTTAACTACCAAAAACTCAATAAAGTTTATTCAAAATAGAGAGTTTTAATTAATTTTAGATACCAACCTAAATTTACGTTCAAGATTTTTTCAAAGTTTATATATAGCATCATTTGGAAATGGCCGGAAGGGACATACAAAAAACAATTATTTTTAAATTTCTGATAAGCTGTCCAATTAGAGTCAGCATAAACTTGGAGTTATTTTGTTTAATACAATTTGTGAGCTTTTCACAATTGTTTTTATTGAGCGACAATTGTTGGGCTACATTATAGTCCTATCAAGTTACACTTGTTTACAATACTTAGTATAATAATTTGATAAAGCAACAGTATAGCGAAATGGTAGAAAATCCTTGTAACTAAGGCTATACTCAGGTAAAATTTCCCTATATTTTGCATTAATACTTATCGTAAGCTATAAGACGATGTTTTAATGACAACTTTGAACATGTATGTTTAAGTGAAGGTTAAGGAGGGTTGTGGTATTCCAAAATATAGACGGACAGATATACCGAAACCATAAGGGTTCTTATATTGTTATGGAATCCTAATAAGAAAATGCATTAGAGTAGTTACGGCTATTTAATAAATGGAAATCTAACATAAAAAGTATTTATGTGTCTATCATGTTGTTATTGTAACATATGCTCATTAAACTTTAATAGCTGCTTGTAGTTCACATTTCGATTATAAAATATAAACATAAATCGCCTGAAACTACTGGAAAAATTCTGCACACTGAAAATTATTCATACATGTTGTGTAATAATAGTATTGATTTAACGGTTTTATGTAACATAATCCCAAATTTTTATGAACGAAAACGATTTGCTTTCTGTTGTTTCAGAAACGTTTACTTATTAGCAATGTTAAGTCGATTATGTAACATTTTTAAAATTATGATTTTGCGAAACGTAAATAATGCTTTCGCCGGATATTACCATATGAAATTTGAAGCAGTATTTACTAATTGTAAGTCAATTACCTCTATAACTGAAATTGCCATATGTGCAAAAAGAGAATTGCTTTTGAACAGTCTGAAATTAACGAAGATAATGTTCGAATTATCCAGATATAGCACTCTATGTAATGTGAAAGCAACGATTTTTACGTTTTATGACAACAAATGAACAAACGTATGCCTCCTTGAGACTTTAATTCAACATTTTAGTTTAGATGAAGGAAATATATAAAATGTATAACAGAAAGTATTACATCCTATTAGGATAATTACATAATAATAACATTGAAAACAGAAAAGAAACAGCAAACTGGAGTTTTAAAATCAAACAAGCCAAATTGGCATTATTGGGATGTTGTTAAAGTGAAGATATTTTAAAACGGTGCTGGGGCAATTTAGTGATGTCTCAGAAAGGAGAAAAATTTGATATTTTTTTGAATTTAGTGAATATCTCAAAATGCTACCACGTAAGGCAAGTCTGAGACCAGATTTTAACCCAGTGGGAAAGTTACGTTACCAAAGTTTAATACATACTCTGTTGTCTTTTTACTTTCCAAATTCTGATTTTGCTGGTTTGTATTTATATATTTTTTATTGGTTGAGGTGAATCTAACGATAAATCGATTTTTAATATCATTAATGTTTGTTATATTGTGGTAGGATTATGATAAAACTGCTATTCAGTATAATTTATAAATGCTTGTCTCTAATTGTCTTTTTTAAGGTCTAATCGGTACCACTTGATTGTTGGATACGGTGTCTAAAGGTTGTTGGGTAATTCCGTATTGATCAAATTATCTACATTTTCAAAACAAGGAGTTTTTTGTATGTTATCTGGCAATCATCCGTTACACATCGATCTAGGTAATAAAGATTTACGTTTGCAAAAAAAAAAGCCGAACTGTAACGATAAATTTCGTAAATAGTCACGTAATGCGATTATTATAAACTGCAGTTAAAAATGGAACGGAGTAACTGTTGACACTACATGTAAATAAACACTGAACATTCCATAAAAAAGATACTACATCTGTGTGTTGCTGTTGACGACAAAATTATTTGGATAATTAACTTTTTGCGTAACTTTCAGTAAAGTGCATGCAATAATAATTTATTGTTATTAACGCGCGAAATCATGTATCATTATTATAGGCGTCGTTGGAATAATTTTAAATAACACGTTGATCGGTTTTGTTGTGCGTGTGCAAGGACTTTTCGTGTTCGATGTCGTCTCAAATCGGCAACCAGTTTTCTACGGGAATTTCCTTACTTAGGTACATCTTTAAATACTTACATAAAACCATTAATTAAAACGCAATTACAAATAATTTGTGCATGTTCGATATTTTAATAACACCGCAATTATACATAGATCGCCAATTTCATCAAGATCTTTCATGAGTTTTTATGGAAACACACAATAGTCAAAGGTATTAGGGGCACAACAACCTGTAAAAGTTGGGAGTGTGACCCCGAAAAGGAAAAAAGGCACTCCAGTGCAAATTCGTTCTTAGAGATGTACGACAAGTGTAGGTATAGAGAGTAAAAACCAAGTTCAAAATACTTTATTGGCGCATTAAAACTATAAAAATAATTATTATTTTCTATCAATGAATACAAATAATTATTTTGCATAATTAATTGTATAAATAGCAACAGGCAGTTATAGAACTGGAGCAGAAACATAGATAAGATAACGGTAATAAGAAATAGGCGAGATAGGTTTGTAGGACACCTTCTCAGACATGAAGAGCTAGTTAGAGATATTACTAGAAGCAGAAACAGGTGTTAAGAGGAGTAGAGATTGGCCTAGAGTAGACTAGTGTTCACAAATAGTTAAGGACGTGGGACGCTCTAGTTTCAGGATAGCAATGGGTGGATGTGGGCGTCCAACCAGTCTTAGGACTGGACCTTATGATGGTGAATTAACCGTTATTTGCAATGTAATAATTAAGTCATTGTCAGTTTCTTTTGCGGCTGGTTTTATTACCGTAAGTCTTAATCTGTTGTCTTCGCCTAAAAAGATTTACAATATTGGTTCTGCTATATTAGAACGGTTACAATTTTAATTAAAAAGCTACAATCAGTGAGTTCTTTGTGGTAGGTACGTCATCGTAATTAAATTAGACAATCCTTTTGTTTGAGTTCATTCTTATCTTTCGCTCTTTTGTTTAAAACACAGTAAACCATGGGTATTCGAGAAGATGAAAGCAATAAGTTGATTTCAGTTTTGTAGCGATTAATTGGTTACAATCGTTTCGGTTAGGTCTTCCTTTGTCCTTTCATCCTTTACATAAAAGTAACCTTTTTTTTTAAAGAAGATTTAAATCGTACGATGTTAAGATCGTCAGGTTGGTTATTCTCGTTTACTTGATTTAAGTTTGAATGGAATGAAGATAAAGTCGTTGTGTTTACAAATTGGTTAGTTTCTCAACAGCAAAATCTTATTTCGATGTTTTCAAAACTGAGGACATTGAAAGGATATGAAAGATGTTGAAAGACATCAAAGCACTCTATTGAAATTGCATTAGCATCTGCTACTTCTCTGTTAAATGGAAGCACCACTAGGAAAATAACTAAATTATCATTGTGTTTTTCCTTTTGTCGGCGCTCATCAAACTGACAGTTTTGAGATAACACCATTAGCTCTCTAGAGTATACAACAGACTATTTTTATATATCATTCATAGTGTAGAAACCTATTATATATGCTGAAACACCTAAGATAGCTTCCAGAATAAATATTATGTGTTTAGTAATTTCCTCTTAAAAGTGTGTGATTTTGTAATGCTATTTTCTTAAGGAATATCTTTTCTGAAAAGTTTATCATTTCTTGTTGATTTAAAGAAATATTTCTCTAAAAAACAAAGTTAATTGCATAGATTTTCGCCTCATTCCCGTACGGGATAAATGAGAGTTACTAGAAGACATGGAGTTAGTTGGCGGTCAGATGTGGAAGGAAGTAGTAGAGGTGAACTTTCACCTCATTTGTACTTTTTAGTTAGTCCAAGAGTTTTTTGAAAGAGGTATATTTTGTTTGAGCTTTTTGCGCATAATATTTTCAATTTCATATAATTTCGGTACCTACCTACAGTGTCTTTTAGTTGTGAGAAAGAAATTGTTTGAATAATAATGTTTGAAAAGCAGCAAATAGTTATAAAAAAACTAAAACAAAAATGTAGATAACATAGCTATGGCTTTTCCGGCGGTGAACTTTACATTATTATTTATAGAATTTTATTGTACAAAGTATCAATTTTTCTATGTATCGTTAATTGATTTACGTAAAGAAACCTACCTACCATTTATTTTACGATCTATTAATTATAAATAATTGTTTAAGTACGTGTGGTAGCTGAATTACGCACCGTTTTTATTGTTTAGTCATTTTAATCGTGTGGCAATTATAAGTATTTATAAATGTTAGAAAAAAAAAGAGAAAATATAAATTTACATTAAGACCTATGGAAACGTACATACCTACATTACTTTACTAGCGTATTCAATTAATAGGAAAAAATAGTTTGGTGTTTATCGGAAAATTTTCTTACACATACATACATTCAAAAAATAAATTATTTCATTTGGCATTTCGCATTGTTAGTAAAAACCGGTGAGTAAATTCTGTTAATTAGACTGCTAAACAGCAATAGTTTTTTGGCACATTTTAATTGATTCGGTACAAAACCCATAATTATTAAGTCTTTTCAGTATTTGATTACTAATTTAATACAGTTGCATACTTTCCAAGATAGACACAATCTTGAAAAAAACCGTAATTTATAGGTAACTACATCAGTAAATTGGCTAGAATTTATTATATTTCATAATAATAACTAACCCTGATTGACATTCTTGCAAGTCCTATGTATAGGATTAGAATTAGAGAATCATAACAGAAAAGTAAATTTTTAGGTAAGGAATTTGCCTGATTTTTGAACATTTTGATGCTGTTTTGAGAGCATGTTGACGTATAACTCTAATTGGAAAATCAGTTTCAGTATTTTAAACAAGAAGAGGGAGATCTCATTAGCTATTTATAATTTGTCATGTTGAAAAATGAAAACTATAATCGTT